AAGCACTCTTTCTAATTTTAATACTATTGTTGTTGTTGGAATTTCCTACTTCTCTAATATTTTTAAAAGTGATGGTCAAATGCTGCCTAAGATTAATTCTGCTCTTTATAACTCTTCCAATGTGCTTAATAATTTGCTGAAATTAAAGATATTCTTGATAGTATGGGGAATGATAAAGCAGCGGGCCTTGATGATTTCACAACTGAATTTTTATATATTTACATAGCTAACACCTAAATTTTAAAGTTTACATTTCTCCTTACATATATATGAAAACATATATTTCACTTTTTAAAATTGAAAATAGAGATCAAATGTGATATGAAAGCTTTTGGTGGCATTAAAAAAATCAAAATTTACGCTCAAAATATGTGAATACAAATATCCTGTGCCAAAGAAACCAATGATAATTTTTTTAATAAATAAATGATTAAAAAACTTAAACTTGATACAATATAAAATAATATATACTAACCTCTATACATTTAATTACTTTTAAATAAAACTGTTATTTTTAAAGAGAAATAAAATTTATATTAATTAAAACGGGAAAAATAAAGAGATGACAAACAAAATTTTAAAATAATTAAATTTCTTGAATTTCTTCATTTCTTAGATGGGGTTTTTAATTTAATGATATGTGTCTTATTAAATTTCTACTCTTTTATATTATCCTCAAAATTTTATTTATTTAATTCATAAAAAAATATTTTAATAATTTTTATTATAATGATCATGTCCCCATGCTTATATCCCCATGCAACATAAATTAAAACCCCTTTCTGCATCGGTAAGAGCGTTTCAGTAAGCTTATAACGTTAAAATGTATTATCAGGTGTATTTCCTTCATAATGATGTTCATATTTTTAATGGCAAACTATTCATTTGAACATGCCAAGACAACATTAGTTTTAGCCCACATAATGCAACAAAAAAATAGTACAAATAAAATTTAAACGGCATTTACATACATACCATACAATTCTTATGCATATACATATTTACATACAAGGAGTCTTTCCCAAGATTAAAGAGAAGACTCTCTCTAATTCAGAAGCAGAATCTTCAATTTTGTTGGATTCTGTGCTCCATGCAATATGATCATCAGGTCTGACTAATATGACCCCATTGCTTGATAAATGGCACATCTCCCACCATGAAACAGGAGAAGGGCTCTTGACCTCTACAACATCTATAGAGTTTCTCCAAGGCAGCAATTCAGTGCTACCACGACTTGTAATTTTCACAGATGAATCATGAGGCCAGATTATGCACACCTTAAGCGGCACATTAAAATTTTCAGCTGTTTTGAACGCCATGCGTGCAAGATCATAAGACTCCTTCACTGGTGCTACTATGAGAAGAAATTCAATTTTATCCCCAGGAACCAAGTCCAAATTAGAAAAAGAATCCTGATTCAATACTTCAGGCCATTAGATTGCCGAGGAAATAATAATAAGAAAGATAATAAAATGAATGAAAAATATAATGTTCCGTTATATATCGTGTGGTATATTATTTGTACAGTTCATGCAAAAGCTGCCCTAAACCCTAAACAAAACTTGAAATATAGGAGCACACTACAGTGTCAATGAATGCTGCATAAAAAAAAAAGAAGAAAACAATTTAAAATATTAAATGCTCCTTGGAAAGGCACCAGGAAGGCATGTTTACTTGTAAGCAGTTAATAATGTGGTTCATGCAATTAGTCCAGCTGCAAAATATAAATAAGAGAACTTGGACAAAATGTTCATCAGATTGATGGATGTGTTGAAGCTTTAATGTATGCTTTGTTAAAAAAAGAAACAAAAACAGGCATTATGTATGAGCTTAAGAGCAGATCCATCCGTGTGTTTTTTTTTTTCTTTTCTTTTATGGAAATAAAGATCGAACCCCCAGTTTCAAAAATCATTTATAATGTTTCCAGGTATGATATTAATGATTCTGTCATAATTAATCAGCTTGTGTTTGGATAAAGCATTATGCTGTTCCAAACACTAACCACATGAATGCCACTGGAAACAGCAAGCTACTGTTCCAGCAGCTGAAAACTCTTAAAAATTAATAGTTTGTCGTGCAGGTAACAGCCACCTTTAAATTTTTAATGTGTCCGTATATAATAGATGGATATTAGAAAATCGCTATTTAATGTTTTAATATCAAAAATTTAATTGAGCCCTCTCTAAATAATAAAACTAATTTATGTACCTCTATCAGAAAAAAACATTCTGGCTGTAGCACTAAGGTAAATACATTGTGCTGGTAACAGCAGTTCTAAACTGCTTTTTTATATGCTATTGAAAATAAGTGTAGATAAATGTTGAAGGACGCCTTGGGGATAAAGTTCCTGATGCAAATCTATTAAGTTATCGGGTGTTATAGATAAATGAATATGAAGTACTTCTAAATGGATTTTCATTGCTGGATTTAAACACAGAAAAATGAAACGAAAATAACATCCTACAAATCTCATTGGAGAGTGAAATACCTAAAACGGTCACCCTACTGATAATGAATAATTTATTATCATCAGCAACAAAATTTGATCACCTAACAAATGTGAAATAGATATCATTCAACCAATACAATCAATTTCAGATGTATGATCAAAGAAAACTATCATAAATTTAATAAATATGTATAAAACAAATCCCCATTTTCAATAATCTCACAAATAATAGAAGACGAGGAAAAGATAAATCAAATAGGCAAGCCTCATGCTTGAACAAAGAGATTGTCTCTCCTAGAATATTCAAAATATTACCCTTGACCTAATACCCAACATTTTGACAACAACAACAACAACAACAAAAAACCTTTATCCCACTAAATGGGCTCTTTTCTCCGTTGTGTCCTAATGAGTGTCATTTCTTTTAATTCTAAAAACTTAAGATCACTTTTTATAAACTATACCAAAGTCTTTCTAGGTCTACCTCTACTTTTATTAACATAAGTCGAATCTAAAACATTAAAACATCTACAATCTAAAACATCTACTCTCCTAATCGGATCATCAAATGGTCGACGTTTAATGTGACCAAACCATCTAAAACGACTCTCTCTCTAATTTTGTCCGTCACTAGAGTTACACCAACCCTATTACGGATATATTCATTTTGCATTTTGTCTCAAAAAGCCACTCATCCACCTAATCAATCTCAGCTCGACAACATTTAACCCAGTTTTATCCTTCTCTTTTAAAGGCCAACATTCAACACCATAAAGCATTACCGGTCTCACCACCATCTAATAAAATTTTCCTTCCAATCTAAGCGGCACTTTTCTATCACAAAATAGGCCCGAAGAATTCCTCCACTTCAACAAACCAACTTGAATTCTACTAATAGCATCCCCATCTATATCACCATCACTTTGAACAATAGACCCAAGATATCTAAAGCGTTCACCACTTTTAATAATTTGATCACCCATAGTTACAATTCTGTCACTAGAGCTACTACTACTAAAATTACATTCCATGTATTCAATTTTAGTTCTACTCAAACAAAGGCCTTTAGACTCCAATGTAGACCTCCATAATTCAAGTTTTTCCTAAGCTTTCTCTCTCGTCTTGTCTACAAGAAAGATATCATAAGCAAAAAGCATACCCCAAGATACATCCTCCTGTAAATGTCTAGTAAGAGCATCCATAACTAAAGCAAAAAGATATGGGCTAAAAAGTCGATCCCTGATGTAACCCAACAGAAATAGAAAAATATTTGGTCAATCCTCTTTTTGTTTGAACACAAGTAATAGCTCAAGTATAAATATCTTTAATGACTTGAATATAAGTCATTACACCACTATTTCTAGTGCGACACTTACCTGAATACCAAAGTTTAAAACCTAATTTATCAATCTCCTTAGCCTTTTATCTAACCCATTTAGTTTCTTAAATACATAAGAAATTTATCTTTCTATGAATCATAATAACTAATTCCATTAATTTACCACTGAGAATACTTATATTCCAAAATATTATCCTAATACGAATTTCATGGGCTAACTTCTTTACCTGGATCCGTCATAACGTGAGAACCATGGCATATTTGACACTACGTCAGGACGCCAGTGTAGCAGCCCTTGCACACTTTTCACTGTACTCAGGTCATACAATAAGTCGTTTTCAATGGACGTCCTGACATTTACACAAAGAACAAAAGGATTCATGTCATGATTTTTTAGACAAATTTTACGCTAGTTGACGACTACCTAACTTAACCCTACACTTTTCGCATCCGGAACTTAGTACCCGACAATGATAGTGTTTAATGATAATTTTATTTGTAAATTTAATTAAAATAGAGATATTGAATTTAATTGAAATAGTTATTATGATAATAATAAAATTTATTCAAGATTTCAAATTTAATGGAAGCCTGTAGTGTTATTTACTATATATATATATATATATATATATATTGTTGTAAAAATTTATTTGCATGTGTGTTGTGTGAACTGACTAGTGCTGCTCAATTAAACCAATGTTAGTTTGTTTTGTGCATTTAGAAGGGGAGATGGAGGGGGTGAACCTCCTCGCAACAAACCAAGAGCAAATGAGAAGCAGGCTAGCGAGGGACAGGATGTAGCGAGTGACACAAAAATGGAAGGCTCAAGCAAAGTTCGTAGTGAAGATGAGCTTGTCAAGGAGAATGGGTCAATCAAGAAGGCTAACATGCAACACCAAGTGTGAGATTCAGCTCAAGCTTAAATTGCAATGAAGATATTCTTCCTTCTTCAGGGTTTTCTTCCATTTTTTGGGTTACAACAACAACAACAAAGTCGTAATCCCACTACGTGGGGTCGGCTACATGAATCCTTTTTCTCCATTGCACCCTATTTAGTGTCATATTTTCATTTAGTTCTAATAAATTAATATCATTTTTTATACAATAAGCCAAAGTTTTCCTAGGTCTACCTCTGCCTTTCTTAACATAAGTCGAATCTAAAACATCTATTCTCTTAATCGGATCATTAGATGGTCAACGTTTAATGTGACTTGTTCTAAATTTTAAGTGTTGCTTGTTCTAAACTTTAAATCTTGGTTTCAAATTTTTTCAGAATGAATGAAGATTAGTTAAATTAAATTGATGTGAAATTTGAATAGCTCCTAATGCCAAATTATTGTAACATTTTTAAAAAAAAATTGGATAAGAAAGTTTCATTTGAGAACTTTTATGAGTTTTATACCATTATTTTCTTTTCCATGAATCATTTCAGGTGAACCCTAATTTCAATTTCCATAAAGAGTTATGTATCTATGCTGTAAAATTAATTTTTAAATTTTAAAAGTAGAATTTAAAGTAATGATTTTAGGAAAAACTAAAATGGCCATTTTATATACATAAAAAAAGAAGAGGAAATATTTACCAAACCTTAAACTTCCTAGTTATACTATAATAATAACATAATTATAGAATATTATATGGGTATAAGAATATAAAAATAATAATTTTGATCTATATAAGTTGACTTGCTTTATCTGGACTAAACTGCAGAGAAATAAATTATAGATAAAAAAAAAATAGGCTTGATTCTTCAAGTAAATATTTAAAGATGTATTACTATTATAAGGTTTAATAAAACTAGTGTAAAAGTACAATTCTAGTATAAAGTTAAAGAGAATAGATGACTACTTCGATAAGTGTAGATCTTCAAAATTCTTTGTTGCATAGCGTGTAAGAAGCATAACAAGGGTGCTGCAGTGCACAAGGTGGACAAGTGAGATGGATCGCTTGGTGGACAAATACAGGATTCCTAGGATTAGGAACAATTTGGATTGAATTTTTTCAAAGAAATGGGTATATATTTTAAAAAATAGTATATATACATATATATAATCAGTTTCTTAAAAAGAACTGTGATCGAGATGTTTCAAATTGAATTTCTATGACTTTTTCTTCATCTTTCATTTTTGTTGTGTTCGTTCGAATTGATTCTGAAGGTGAATCTTTTTATTCATAGTTTCAATGCTTCAAGAACATTGGTGTTATCAATTTTGTGAAATGAGTGACGATTAGATGATTTTGGTTTCCATAATGCAAGTTCAATCCGAATTTTTGCAATTAGGCAACCTTTGTTGGTCATTTTCTATCACCATCATCACATTTGATCATGTCACATCATGAAGCAGGTATCGAGATCAACCATATTTTATAATCTAGTGCTGAGAACTATCAATATTTAAGCTCATCTAACATGACAAGTTTTAGTAATCTAAATCTAGCAGGTTTTCTTAACTAATCAATAGGTCAAAGCAAAAATCAAAGAGACCACCATCGCTCAAGAAGGCGTCTACAAAACCATGCAAGGAGATTCCCAAATATATAATTTTCAAGAAATCAAAAATAAAAAAGAAGACTTCCAAGCCTGTAGACTTGAACTAGTCAGATTATAAAAGCACAAGATTTTC